CCCCACCCTGCCCCGCTCCGCGCCAGACTGGGATTACTGGGATGACCCACCCCCATCCCACCAGTGCTCCTCAGCCTTACTCTTTGCTGGGACCGGTGCAACTGGGAGCTCTCGGCAGTGCAAGGCCCAGAGACAGGGGTGACAGCGCACACCCTGGGGACCCGCGGGGGGGGGAGGACCCCGTGGGACGCCCCACGGCTGCTCACCGGATGAACTGCGCCAGCTCCCAGGCCTGCACCAGGCGGTGGGGCAGGTAGGCGTCCTTCTCCCGGCAGTACTCGGCATGGAGCTGGCAAAAGGGGAGGGCAAAGGGGCCGTGACCCCCCCATGCCATCACTTGCCCCCCTCCTAGGCTCCTCGCACCCCCACCCAGCCCCTCTAGAAGGTCCCTTTGGGGTCTGGCTGACCCCTGTCCTCACCCCATCGCCCCGGGGACAGCTCACCCCCTGCACAGCCCAGGTTGTGGGGTCACCGTCCCGCTCCCCGAGCAATATTGCATTACATCAGTGCGTGGGATGGGAGAGACGGCGCAGAGCAGTGGTTAGAGCAAGGGGACAGCAAAGGAGGGGTTATGGCCACTTGTCCCACTCCTCCCCATCGTCCCCCCCCGAACGCCAGGTCCTCCCCTGGAGTGCTCACGTGGGTGACATAGACATTGAAGCCGATCCCGGAGATTTTAATGACGACGAGGCCGACGGACTTGCCGCAGAACCAGTCCCCGTGCTGGAGCTGCCGGAGGGGAATGGGAGCAGGTCGGGGCCGGTGAGGCTCCGTGGGCACAGGCACCGCGGTGTCGGGTGCCCCCCCCCACCCCACTCACCATGTAGGGGTACCCGTTCAGCGAGTACTGGTAGAGGAGGGTGTCCAGGATGGGGAACCGGGAGAAGACGCAGAGGCCGCTGCCGATCACCCCGCTGTGGGAGGGGAAAAGCACAGTGAGGATGCGTCGTCCTCCCCTCCTCTGCCTCCCCCCAGTCCCGAGCCAAGGGGGCTCCCCAGATGCTGGGGTGCCAGTGTGCTCCCGTGAGCATCCCACTCTCCGGGCACGGGGTCTCCCACGGTGACAAAGGTGCCCTACAGCACCCGCACTGGTCTCTCTATGCGGCAAACACCAAGGACGTGGCACAGCCCCGTGGACAGCCCCGGCCCAGCGCCTCTCACCTGCGGAAGTAATGGGAGAAGGGGTAGCAGCCCCCCAGCTTCACCTTCAGGTCGCTGTAGTCCCGCTCGCTCCACACCTGGAGAACAGCAGGATGGGCTGAGAACAGGCACGCTCATCTCACAGGCTGAGAACGGGCGTGTTTGGCTCATGGCTCATGGGCTGAGAACGGGCACACTCGTCTCATGGGCTGAGAACGAGCGTGCTCGGCTCATGTCTCACGGGATGAGAACGAGCGTGCTCGGCTCATGGCTCACGGGATGAGAACTGGC